CCTAGACCCTTCATCTGATGAAGGGTCTAGGCCCGAAACGTCAGCCTCTCTGCTCCTATGATGCTGCTTGGCCTGCTGTGTTCATCCAGCCCTGCACCTTAATTCTATTATAACGCGTGTTTCGTTAATGTAAATTGGCTGTAACAGGATTGATGAATCGTGGACGCTGTTTGGATAACACAAACTTTCTGCTATACAGGTAAAGCGATTTTCTATAGCAATTTCCCTGTAACACAACGTTCTTTAGCGCAAGGTCACAAAAGAATGCAACTATTGCATTATGGGAGAACTACCTGTATGTATTAAATGATTTAGATGAAGGAACTAAATGCAGTATCTCTAAGTTTGCAGACATGACAAATCTGTGTAGGAGGGTGAAAATATGAAGTGCAAAGATGCTTCAGCATGACTTGTAAAGTCGACCGAGTGGGAAAATGTATACCAGATGAAGTATGATGTGGATAAATGTAAGATTTTCTACTTTCTTAGCAAAAACAGGAAGGTAGATTATTATCTGAATGGCATTACGTTGGGAAAGGGGGGTGGTGTAATAAGACCCATATGCTTTTGTATACCTGTCAAAAAGGAAAGCAAAACTAATTTAGCTCCACAATTAGTGGCTACCAAAGTTGCAAAACATATACACTTAAATATATATACGTATCAATAAGGAAACGTTATCACTACTTACCAAATCAGCAATTCTACAAAGACAGTCTGAAAGTCTGTCAAAGATTTGAACAACTTGAGGACCAGGTGGTGTTCTGCATGCTTGTTCCACTAACTGCTCCATTTCATTCAATGCATTTTCTTGGGCCACCTGAAATCCTACTGGGGAGTTCAGCTCATGTACACCAAAAAGACCCTTAATGATAAAGTAAGAAACTTTAGTTCATAGAAAGTGTTCATACAGTTTTTTTTAAAATGACCACAAGACATCAGAAGGGACTTTACAACAGATAAAAGTGGTTTTGAAGTGTTGCCATAGTGGTAGTATAGGAAATGCAGCAGTCAATTTGCTGTTTGTGGGACATGATGTGTGCAATGTATTAGTGATCAGATAATTTTTTTTAATGATGATTAAAAGGTAAATATTGAGCAGGACAATGATCTGTGGTAGCACTGATATTAATGATTTAGTATGCCAAAATCTTCCAGTCTTTCAAGATTCAGTGGAGATGCCAGAGTTTTGTAAAATGGCAAATGTGACACCCTTACTCAAAAATGATGCAAGGGTCGTTCCAAACTTCAGGTCAAACAGTTTACCATCAATACAATGTAAGGTTTTAGGAACAATAATCAGACAGAAATTAACAGACACTTGGAGAGATTGATGTTAGAAGAACCAGCATGAATCTCAAAAAAAATGGATAGTACTTAACTAATCCTTCGGAAATTCTGAGGAAGTAACAGAAAAGGCCAATGAAGGGAATATAGTAGACGTTGTCTCTACGAATTTTAAGGAAGGCTTTGGCAAAATACTTTTTAAAAAACTGGTTAACAAAATTAAGATCCATAGAATAGGACAGTCAGTCTCCAAAGATTAAAAAGATGACTTAAGGACAGAAAACCGCAAATATTGGCAAATGGTCATTTTTCAGACTGAAGAATGGTGGACAGTGACAAAACATCAGTGCTAGAGCCATTGTTTCTTTATAACATTTGTAATTGGGAAAATGTTAGTCTACTATAAAGGACGTAATAGCAAGGCATTTAGAAACACAAAATATAATCAAGCAAAGTCAGCATACCGTCATGAAGGGAAAATCATACCTGACAAACTTATTACTGTTCTTTAAGGAGCTAACAAGCTGGGTTGATAAAGGGGAACCAGTAGTTTTAATACAGTTAGATTTCCAAAAGGTTTCTAAAAGTTTCAATTAGGTACCACCCATAAGGCTACATAATAAGAGCCCTAGTTGTTGGGAGTAACATATCAACACGGAAACAGGACTGGCTAACTAAAAGAAGGCAAAGAGTTGGATAAAGGGGGAATTTTCAGGACGGCAATGCATAACTAGTGGAGTAGCACAAGCATCAGCACTGGGACTACAATTATTTATAATGTGTTATTAACTCGGATGACAGAAGTGAATGTACTATTGCCAATTTTGCAGAAGACACAAAAATAGATGAGAAGACAAGTAATAAAGATGACATAAGGAGTCTACAGAGGAATACAGGCAGGTTAAGTGAGTGGGCAAAAACGTGGTAGATAGAATATAATGTGAAGTTATGCATTTTGGCAGGAAGCATAGTCGAGCTGACGGCCTAGTGGTATTAACACTACATTATGAATCCAGAGACTAGGTAATGTCTTAGAGAACTGGCTTCAAATCTCACCATGGCAAATGGTGGAATTTCAATTCAATAAAAAAAAATCTGGAATTAAACATCTAATGATGAGCATGAAATCATTGTCAATCATCAGAAAAACAACACACCTGGTTCACTACTGACCTTTAGGGAAAGAAACTGCCAGCCTTATCTGGTCTGGCCGACATGTGACAATAATGTAGTTGACTTTTAAAGCCCTCTGATATGGTCTGACAAGCAATTCAGTTCTAACAACTGCTGGAAAGTCAAAAAAGTGAAACTGAATGCACCACCTGGTATCAACTTAGGAACTGGAAAGGACAACTGCAAGAAAAAAGCTCTGTTGACCCTGTAATGTCCTCCTTACCAACATCTGGGGGCTACTGCCAAAATTAGGAGAGCTGCTCCCAGACTAATCAAGCAAAAGCTTGACATACACAACATCCCAGATGCCACCATCACCATCCCTAAATTTGTCCAGTCCAACTGGCAGAACAGGCCCAGGGGAACTGACAGTACAATTAAGAAGAAGGAGCTCTCAACAATGACTTCAGACACCACGAAGTCTCGAGGTACGAGGTTAAACACATGCAAGGAAACCAGCTGCTGATTTTCTATAGCATCCTCCACGGCTGATGAATCAAGACTCTTCCGTGTTGAACAACACTTGGAGGAAGCACTGAGGGCGGCAAGATATACTTTGTATGGGGGATTTCAACGTCCACTACCAAACACAGTTTGGCAGCAGCATCACTAATTGGAGTTCTGAAAAATCAATGCTGAAATACTGGGACTGTGGCTGGTGGCAAGGAAAGCAAGACGGCAAAACATACTTGACCTCAACCTCACCAATCTTATAGGTACGACAAGTGCATTTGTCCATGACTGCACTGTCCTTATGGAGACAAAGTTCTGTCTTCACAGTGTAATACCTTATACCGTTTTGTTGCCACTGTCACAGTGCTAAATGGGACAGACTTTGGACAGAGCCAGCAACTGAAAACTGGGCATCCATTAGTTACCATGGACCACCAGAAGCTGAATCACACTCCAATACAAGCTGCAGCCTCATGACCATCAAGTCAGGGAATCAACATTCCTTCCATCATAAAGTCAGAAGTGGGGGATGTCTCCCAATGATTACACACAATGTTCAGCACCATTCATGACTGCTCATACATTTATGCAGTCCATGTCCAAATGCAGCAGACAGGGACAATGTCCAAGTTTGGGCTGAAAAGTAGCAAACAATATTCACGCTACACAAACTACACAGGGAATGATCATCTCCAATGAGAGCATCTAACCACAGCTCTTCTGCTTTCAGTGGTGTTACCATCACTGAACACCTTGGGTGTTACCATTTTAATCCATCTATTCAGTTTGATCAATGTGGGAAAGTGTGAGGTTATGCACTTTGGTAGGAAGAAGAGGCAGAGACTATTTTCTACATGAAGAAAGGCTTCAGAAATGTGAAGCACAAAAGGACTTAGAGTCCTGCTTCAGGATTCTCTTAAGGTTAACATGCAGGTTCAGTTAGCAGTTAGCATGTCAAATGGAATGCTAGCATTTCAAGGGGGCTAGAATACAAGAACAGACATGTGCTGCTGAGACTGTAAAAGGCTCTGGTCAGACCGCATTTAGAATATTAAGGGCAGTATTAGGCCCCATATCTAACGATGGATGTGCTGGCCTTGAAGGTGGTCCACAGGAGATTTACAAGAATGATCTGGGGATGAAGGTCTTGTTAAACGAGGAGCAGTTAAGGACTCTAAGCCTGTACTCAATAGACTTTAGAAAGATGGGAAGGATCTCATTGAAACTTACAGAATACTGATAAGCCTGGATAGAGTGGACATGGATAACACAGTGTGGAGCTGGAGGAACAGCAGGCCAGGCAGCACCAGAGGAGCAGGAAAGCGGACGTTTCGGGTTGGGACCCTTCTTCAGAACTGGGGCTCTGAAATTTCTGAAGAAGGGTCCCGACCCAAAACGTCCGCTTTCCTGCTCGGCCTGCTGTGTTCCTCCAGCTCCACACTATGTTATTTCAGACTCCAGCATCGGCAGTTCTTACTACCCTAGAGTGGACATGGAGAGTCTAGGACCCGAGAAGACAGCCTCAGAGTAAAGAGGCGGCACTACAAAATTGAGTTGAGGAGGAATTTCTTCAGGCAGAGGGTAGTTAATCTGTGGAACTCATTTCCACAAAGGGCTGTGGAGGCCAAGTCATTGAGTGTATTTGAAACAGATTTGTTGATAGGTTGTTGATTGCTAAGGGGATCAAGGGTTACAGGGAGATTCCAGGAGAATGGGGGTGAGAAATATGTCAGCCATGATCAAATGGCAGAGCTGAACCAACAAGCTGAATGGCCTAATTCTGCTCCAATAGCTTATGATCTTATATGCAGGCAAAATTCAGAGAAATGTCAAAATAATAGTATATGAATAGTAGAGTATTTCAACTTCCAGTTTATCAACAGGGATAGACAAAGTATGAAAGGCTTAGAGGGGTCAGGAGAGCTTTTTAGAAAGTCTGAGAAGAGAGACAGTGGTACTGGACTTAATTTTAGGGACCAAAACCAGGCAAGTTATAGATGTGGCGGTGGGACAGCATTTTGTGACAATGATCACAATTCAGAAAGGTTTAAGTTAATTACGGATTAGAAGTTTGAATTGGAGGAAGGATGATTTTAATAAAACAAGACATGATCAGGCCGCAGTGGACTGGGAGCAGCTACTTGCAGGAAAATCCACATCAGAGCAGTGAGAGTCATTTGAAAGAGTAACAGTGAGAGTGCAGAGCCAACATTGTCCAGTAAAGGCAGAGTACAGAGACCCCTGAATGTCAACAGATATACAAGACTCAATAAGAAAAAAATAAGCTTATGGTAAATACCAAAGGCACAAAATGGCACATGTCCTACAGAAATATAGAAAATGCAGGGAGTTGCTTGAAAAATGCATTAGGAGAGCAAAGAATGGGTGTCAAAAAGCATTGGTGAGTAATAATAAGAAATTCCAAAGGCATTTCGTGAAGTTCATTTCAGCAAGAGAATAACCAGAGAAAGAGCAGGGGCCATTAAGGATCAAAGTCGTTATGTGTGTGTTTTTTTTTAAAAATTCGCTCATGGAACATGGGAGTCACTGTATGGCCAGCATTTATTGCCTGCCCCTAGTTGACCTTGACTGTTGAAGTCCATGTCCAGCAGTTTAAGGAAGCAGCTCACAACCAGCTTCTCAAGGACAACTAGGGTTGGTCGATAAATGCTGGCCAGCCAGCAATACCCACATCCCACCACTAAATTTAAAAAAAATATAGTTGTGTGGAGCCAAGAAACATAGTTGAGATTCTAAACAAGTGCTTTGCATCTGCATTCACAGCAGAAAAAGACAACTTTTGTCTAGAAATCAGGGAGGCCAATTATGATATATTTGCATAAATTAGCAGAGAGGGAGGAGTTACTTTCAGTTTCAGCAGCCCAAAAATGGATAAACACCCAGGCCCAGATGAGATGTATCCAAGGCTGCTGTGGGGGACAAGGAAAGAGATTGCAAGAGCTCTATCATTACTTTTCAAATTCTCTCTGGTCACAAGGGGTGCCAGAGGACTGGAACAGAGCAAATGTGCTACAATTGTTCAAGAAAGATGGAAGGGATACACAGGAAACTACAGTCCAGGGAATCCAACATCTGTGGTAGGGAAACTATTGGAAAAAATTCTGAGGGACAGAATTAATCTCCTTTACAGAGGCAAGGATTAATCAAAGTTAACGTTTCAGGTCCGGTGATCCTTCCTCATAATTGATGGCGGCTGGGAAAACATCGGTTTATATGCAGAAAATAGGGAGGGGGATGGGGTAGGGAGTAAAAGATAGGATACAGCCCGAAGAGAAAGAGCAGTCAGATAGACAAAGGAATTGATAATGATCTGGCTAGGAGGGTGAATAGTTGTTTATAGGGACTGTTATTGACTAACAACAGGCAGTGTGTAAAGGCAGGCTATGTAATAACAAGGCCTGGAGTGTGGGGTAGGGGGTTAGGGGGTTAGGACATGGGAGAGTTTAGGTCCGAAAATTATTGAACTTGATATTGAGTCCAGAGGGCTGCAGTTCCCCAAGCGGAAAATGAGGTGTTATTCTTCCAGCTTGCATTGAGCTTCGCTGGAACACCACAGCAAGCCAAAAAACAAAGATGTTGGCCAGGGAACAGGGTGGTGTGTGAAAGTGGCAGGCAACAGGTAGCTCAGGGTCTATTTTGCGAGCAGAACGTAGATGTTCTGCGAAGCGGTCACCCAGTCTACGCTTCATTTCCCCAATGTAGAGGAGACCACATTGTGAGCAGCGAACGCAGTCGACTAGGTTTTGGGAAGTGCAGGTGAAGTAATGCTTCACCTGGAAGGTATGTTTAGGCCCTTAGATAGTGGGGAGGGAGGAGGTAAATGGGCAAGTGTTGCACCTCACCGGTCGCAGGGGAAGGGGCCGTGAGGGTGAAAGAGCGGACCAGGGTGTCCCTGAGGGAACTGTCTCTGCGGACAGCGGACAAGGGAAGGGAGGGGAATGTGTGTCTCATGGTGGCATCTCGCTGGAGGTGGCAGAAATGGCATCTGATGATCTTCTGGATGTGGATGCTGGTGGGACAGTGGTAAGGACAAGGGGAACCCTATTGCTGTTGCGGGAGGGAAAAGAAGGGGTGAGGGCAGAAGTGGGGGTAATGGCTCGGACCCAGTTGAGGGCCTTGTCGACAATGGTGCTGGGGAACCCTCATTTGAGGAAGAAGGTAGACATGTCGGAGGCTCCCTGGTCGAATTTGGCTTCATCTGAACGTATGCGACGGAAACAGAGAAAGTGAGAAAATGGGATGGAGTCTTTACAGGGAGCAGGGCATGAGCACAGGCAGCTGTGGGAGTCAGTGGGTTTATAGTGGATATTATGGCCAGTCTATCCAACTGCTGTTCTCTCTCTTTGGGCTCTATCCTATTGTTTACTCCCTACCCCATCCCCTTCCCTATTTTCTGCATATAAACCAACGTTTTCCCAGCTACCATCAGTTCTGAGGAAGGGTCACGGAACCGAAACGTTAACTCTTGATTTTTTTCTTCACAGATACTGCCAGACCTGCTGAGCTTTTCCAGCAACTTCTGTTTATGCTCCTGATTTACAGCATTTGCAAGAACAGTTCTTTCAGGCTTTTTTAAGGATTAATCAAAGATAGTCAGCCTAGTTTTGTAAGGGGAGATCATGTTGAAGAAACGTCCTTGAAATTTTTAAGGTGACTAGATGCGTAAGGAATGGGGGGGTGTGCATTTAACATAGTCTATATAGACTGCAGTAACACTTTTGACAAGGTCTCACATGTCAGACTGGTTAAGAAGCTGAAGGCTCATTGGGATCAAAAACATAAAGGCAGATTATGTGAACGGCAATAGTTAGGGAAAGGGTGAAATGCAACAAGACCTGGGTGCCCTTGTATATAAGCCACTGAAAGTAAACATGCAAGTGCAGCAAGCACTGAGGAAGGCAAATGGCATGTTGGCCTTCATAGTGAGAGGATAGGAGCAGGGATGTCCAGCTACAGAGGACCATGGTGAGACCACATCTGCGGTATTGTGTACAGTTTTGGTCTCCTTATCAAAGGAAGACATTCTACCTACGGAGGGAGTGCAATGAAGGTTTACCAGACTGATTCCTGGGATGGCAAGTGTGATATATGAAGAGAGATTGGTTTAGTTAGGACTATGTTCACTGGAGTTCAGAAGAACAGGTGGGAATCTCTGAAATTTATAAAATTCTAACAGGACAAAGAGTAAATGCAGGAAGGTTGCTCCCAATAACGGTGGCGGCCAGAACTACAGGTCTAACGATATAGGGTAGGCCAATTAGGACTGAGATGGGGAGAAATGTCTTAACCCAGAGAGTGGTGAGCCTGTGGAATTCTCTGCCACAGAAAACAGCTGAGGCCAGAATATTAAGTGTTTCTAATGATTTAGATATAGTTATTCGGTTTAAAGCGATCAAGGGATATGTTTAGAAAGTGGCAACAGGGTACAGAGTTCGATGATCAGCCATGATCATATTGAATGGTAAAGTAGGTTCAAAGGGCCAAATCACCTATTCCTACATCTACTTTCTGTGTCTATCCAAGGCAGTTTGTCAAATTGGATTCAAAATTGGCTTAATAGCAAAAAGCTGAGGGTGATGGTTGAGGGGTATTCTTGTGACTGGAAGCTTTCCAGTGCTGGGTCCTTCACTGTTTGTTGTGTACTTAAATGACCTAGATGTGAATGTAAGATGCATGACTAGTTAAGTTCAAAATGATGCGAGATTTGGGTGTGTAAATAATGAGGGAAACCTTAGACTACAGGACAATATAGACCAGCTGGTCAAATGTGAACAGAAACAAATAGAATTTAATCCTGAAAAGTAAGGTGATGCATTTTTCATACAATCATAGAATCCCTACAGTGCAGAAACAGACCAATCGGTCCGTCGAGTCTGTACTGACCGTCCTTGAGTGCTATCAAAACTCTTCGACCTTATTAGAAACGACTCCATTAAAATTCAGTGCACCAGCCGGGCTCAGCTTTAACAGGTTATCGTGTAGCAACCTCGTGCACATTACATCGGAAGTGTCACTCACCACGTTCTTCCCAAATATATCCACCTTTCTCCTCAGTTGATCGTTGAAGGCCGCTCCCACCGGAGACCATGAAGTGGAGACATTTCTGTAGGTTTTGAAACGACCAGTTTGAATACATTTAAAGAATGTCAGCCACTGCCGGTTCAACATGTCCAGGAACTCGCGCTCCAACGTAGGCCAAGGGCTTCCGGCATCGTAAACCACTGCGCCTGCGCGCCGGTGCTACAGCCTTCTGGGAGTTGGAGTTCTTGGCCATTTCACCGAAGGAGCATGCGCGGTATTAAAATATGTCCCGCCGACGTGGTAACTTCGTGGGAGGAACAGCCACGAAGCTGAGAAGGAGTAGGTCCATTCAAACATTTACCATCCAGCCATGCTAAGAGTGGTGTAAGGGGGAATTTAAGCCTTTGGGAAGACGAGAGTGACTGGGAAGGGTCTAGGCCCGAAACGTCAGCCTTCCTGCTCCTATGATGCTGCTTGGCCTGCTGTGTTCATCCAGCTCTACACCTTGTCTCAGTGACTGGGAAGCTTTGACATGAGAAGGGGAGAATGGAATGATGTGTACCTGAGAATAAATAGGGTTTAATGAGAGACGTATTACTTAAGGCATCTGGTACATTTGGGTCTTGGAGGTGGCTGCTTTGTGCAACACTTCTGCTTGATTTACAAAAATGGCTGGACTTTATGGTCACTTTTTATTTCAGCGTAACATCTTGCTGTCTTGCTAACGTCTCTGTCCTAATCTTACTGCAATTTTTCAATGAAGCCATAAAGACCTCAGGTACCTGGGTATGTTGGAGGGACCGCACCTTATTTTCCGCTTAGGCACTCATAGCCTTCAGGGTTCAACAACTTCAGAACATGAACCCTAACCTCAATTTTAATTACTCCTTCTCAGCACCTTGTTTGCATAGGTTTGCTTTCAGCAGAGCAGACCTATTTTCTGCAATTAACATCTGCCATTAACAATTACTCATTATTTATATGTCATCATTATCTATTTCACCAGATTGGTGACCGTAATGGTTCTATGTCCTACTTTCAGTCTGAACTGGAAAATTTTGACAACTTAACTTCCATTTCCAACCCTCTCAGTTTCACATGGGCCATCTCTGACTCTTCCCTTTCTTGACTTCCGTGTTTCTATCCTACCAATAGGCTATCAATTAAGACTAATTATTACAATTAACTATTATTATATAACCTACATCATCAGCATATCTATCAATGTGCCAAAGGCAGAAAGAGAGAGAGGCTAACATTTTTAAAAGCTATATTACTTGCTTAAATTCTTGTTTTGAAATCGGTTCTTGTCAAATTTTAAAATAGCTGCTTTGAATACGGATTGAGCAAATTGACTGCTTCCAGAATTTTCTAGCAATTATTAAGACACAGGCAAATTCATCACCTCCTGGAATATGACATTCTTTATATGGTATGAATATTCCAAACAACCAAGACAGTTATATTAGATATTTTACCATCTGTGTGGAACAAAGGAATTACACAAAACCTATTATAGCTTGAATCAATTCAAATTGCTCACAGTTATCTACTGCAAAACATCACTGGTTTCTGACAAGAGGGCATCAAATGGAGTAATTACTCCAAACATTAAAATTGCTGATAAAAGCCCGTAAGCCCACAGCAGATGCACAAATGGGCCAGTGGCCTCAGCTGTCCATGACAGGCTATAAGGTGCATCCACACAAACACTGTAGATGTCACCATATTCATTACATAGTCACATCATTGCCAGTGCATGCATAGACTTCCATGCTTTTATTTTAAGTTAACTAGTTAGGCTGAGAATCTGGAAGCACAGACAAATGCTATTACTGGGAGCAGGAGTGGGGTGGGGAAAGACTTTTATTATAGCTGAAGTTGAGTCCACCAGGAGAAGGAAAGAGGTTTGAACCAGAAACCAACCTCCAGTTTGCCTGGGGGTGACAAACTGTTGATTGAGAGGCTACCAGGGGTGTAGGAATGAAAGAGAGAGGCTGGTAGGATGTAGGAGATGGTGCTGCAAAGTAGAGAGATCAACTTCAAACAAAAATAAAACTCTTTTTGTCATACAGAGTACATTATTTTATATCCTGCAGCTCCATCTTCAGAGAGGCAGATGCTTTCTACCACTTAAGAATAATGTTGGTTTGTTTCTGCCTCTTGCTTAACTTACATCAGATATTCATAGAATAACCTGCTGACATCAAATCCACTCCATTAACTGAGTGTCTCAATTTAAAGCTTATGTCACATGACTGAAACTGCTGGTTTGTTTGAACCACCTTTAATTATGCAGTTTTGACATTTAATCATCGATCTGTTTCTAACACCAGAAGAGTAAGCACCCCCACACTTAGTTAAATGCCTACCTGTGCTCTTAATATCTCTTGAAAGCGTGATTTTTGGAAGGGTACCTGTGTTTCACTTGCAAAATGAGCCAACTCCCTGCTTACAAATACTACACCTTCACCAGCCATTTGACTGCATCTGAACATCTGCCATAGGGACTTCTGTGTACAGCCAACTAAAACAACCTCATCTGGAAAAGGGTGGTCTCCAAGTTATTCAGCCCAGTACAATGAAGGATATTTCTGTTTGTAATTTTGTCCTGGCATCAAATTCTCAAAATGGTAGTAAATGTTCTTGAGCTTTAATGTGGTGCTATACAGCAGGATGATAAGAACAATGTCCCAGTGGAGGTTTACTTCAGTCTTCAGTTTAATGCCATGCTGCTTCCAGACAGAAGCATGGAGTCAGCCATAGTCAAAAGTTGCTTTATAGATGCTTTCACAGTTATGTTCATCAATGGTGGTATTCCTAGAAAGCACATGACCGATATATGAGAATTTTTCAGCAACCTTGAGATGGTGCCATCAACAATGATAGTAGGAACTGCAGATGCTGGAGAATCCAAGACAACAAAGTGCAGGGCTGGATGAACACAGCAGGCCCAGCAGCATCATAGGAGCAGAGAGGCTGACGTTTCGGGCCTAGACCCTTCATCAGAAAAGGGGGAGGGGAAGGGGGTTCTGAAATAAATAGGGAGAAAGTGGGAGGCGGATAGAAGAGGGATAGAGGAGAGGATAGGTGGAGAGGAAACAAACAGGTCGAAGAGGCGGGGATGGAGCCAGTAAAGGTGAGTGTAGGTAGGGAGTTAGGAAGGGGATAGGTTAGTCCAGGGAGGACGGACAGGTCAAGGGGGCGGGATGAGGTTGGTCGGTAGGAGATGGAGGTGCGGCTTGAGGTGGGAGGAGGGGATAGGTGGGAGGAAGAACAGGTTAGGGAGGCAGGGATGAGCTGGACTGGTTTTGGGATGCGGTAGGGGGAGGGGAGATTTTGAAACTTGTGAAATCCACATTGATACCATTGGGCTGCAGGGTTCCCATCTGCCAATGTGGTATACTGCATCCGCTGTACCCGGTGTGGCTTCCTCTACATCGGGGAAACCAAGCGGAGGCTCGGGGACCGCTTTGCAGAACACCTACGCTCGGTTCGCAATAAACAACTGCACCTCCCAGTCGCGAACCATTTCAACTCCCCCTCCCATTCCTCAGACGACATGTCCATCCTGGGCCTCCTGCAGTGCCACAACGATGCCACCCGAAGGTTGCAGGAACAGCAACTCATATTCCGCTTGGGAACCCTGCAGCCCAATGGTATCAATGTGGATTTCACAAGTTTCAAAATCTCCCCTCCCCCTACCGCATCCCAAAACCAGTCCAGCTCGGCCCTGCCTCCCTAACCTGTTCTTCCTCCCACCTATCCCCTCCTCCCACCTCAAGCTGCACCTCCATCTCCTACCAACCAACCTCATCCCGCCCCCTTGACCTGTCCGTCCTCCCTGGACTGACCTATCCCCTTCCTAACTCCCTACCTACACTCACCTTTACTGGCTCCATCCCCGCCTCTTCGACCTGTTTGTTTCCTCTCCACCTATCCTCTCCTCTATCCCTCTTCTATCCGCCTCCCACTCTCTCCCTATTTATTTCAGAACCCCCTTCCCCTCCCCCTTTTCTGATGAAGGGTCTGGACCCGAAACGTCAGCCTCTCTGCTCCTATGATGCTGCTGGGCCTGCTGTGTTCATCCAGCCCTGCACCTTGTTGTCCCCATCAACAATGATGTCTGGTGCTTCTTAACATGCACCTGCTATAGGCTGAAACATAACGTTGGTCTTGGAGATGCAGATTTGAAGATTTGGCAACAGTTGAGAAATTGTTCATCATAGTTATCATCAACCTTAGCAAGTGTTGCTCAATAGACATCCTTTGGTTTCTCTTGATGTCTTAAATATGCAGATGGCATAGAAGACTGCTGCAAAATAAAGACATTGTCATTGTCACCAGGATTCCAACCATTGACCTGTATGATTTTCTGCTGTGCAGTGAGGAAGTGAAATGCCTGACAATTCTGATATTGGTTAGTGTTGACAGATGGTTTCTCTTTGTTCACTAGTTAGACCAGTATTTATTGCCCATCCTTAGTTGGTCTTCAGAAGTTAATGGTGAGCTGCCTTCTTGAACCACTGCAGTCCATGTGCTGTGTGACCTATAATGCCATTAGGGAAACAACTCCAGGATTTTCACCAAACCACATGTAAGGGATGGCAATATATTTCCAAGTCTGGTGGGTGAGTGGCTTGGAGGGGACCTAGCAGATTGTGGTATTCCCTGCTGCCCTTGTCCTTCTCAATGGTCACACTTGTCAATTTGAAAGATGCTGTCTGAGGAACTTTGGTGAATTTCTGCAGTGCATCTTGTGTATGGTGCACACTGCTTCTACTGAGCATTGTGGTGAAGGGCGTGGATATTTGTGGATGTTTTGCCAATCAAGTAGGATACTTTGTCCAGTAATGTGCTGCATCCTGGAGAAGCCTGAAACCATGTCAAGTTGCATGTTTACTCTGCTGTCCTCTCGCAAGCTCAAGTCCACAGTGACTCTTACCAATTTTTATAGATGCACCAGAGAAAGTATCCTATCCAGATGAATCACAGCTTGGTATGGCAACCACTGTGCCACAAGAAATTACAGAGAGTTGTGAACACAGCTAGTCCATCACAACAACCAGCCTTTCATCCACTGATTCTGTCTACACTTCCTGCTGCCTCGGGAAAGCAGCCAACATAATCAAAGACCTCTCCCACCCCCGTTTATACTCTCTTCCACCTGCTTCCATTGGGCAGAAGATACAAAAATTTGAAAATGAACCAACAGATTTAAGAACAGCTTCTTGCC